TTGAGAAATACTCTAGACGAATGAAGCAAGTTGTCAAATACAGACAAGACAAAAGTGGAAGAGACATGGTCAACACTTTTTTTCTTCTCAAAAACAGGTACATTTAAAGTAAGCATTGACTACAGTAGATCACAAGACCAGTGACTACTTAAAAGGAGACCAAAATGAACCAAAGGTTAAAATGAATACATGGTTCATCATAAATAACTTTTACGAATTACTAATATTTAATCTTTATAGTTTACTTTTCTCTCTTTATCAAACAAAATAACAAATTTATAACATAATAAAACCATTTCAACATTTTTTAAAAATTATTATTATTTTTTAAAAATGCTTTCAGGGTAAAGCTGGAAAGATTAGAATGCTGTACTGTTAAACAGCACACCCTTGTGGTCTAAGTTGCATCACAAGCAATAGCAGCTTGTATCATAGATGTTTTTCTTGTCATTATGTTTTTGTATTTCATTGTTATTACTTTCAGTGAGTACAAAAAGTAAAGTTTGCTAAAATTGCAACTAAATTGTTCAGGGTGTTGCATAATGCTTAATTATAATTAATATTTTTACTTAAAAGTGTAAACAAAATAGCAACAGAAGTAAGGAACATTCATTCATCAACATGTGTGTTCTGATGAATTTCATGAATACTTGAATATAAACAGTATCAGTTCAAGAGTTAACAGTATATAAATATACTAGCTATAGGTGCACAGAAATTAACACACACAAGACAAATTAAGAGTAATGATTATTCTCTTTAGAATATTCTTCATTAGGTAGTTCAGAGAAGAGGAATGAACCCTGTAGAAGTGAGAGAGCAGAAGACAGAGGTACCATCTTTCTTTTTTGAGGGAGGAGAAGTAAGACTTCACTTGATCAACAATAACTGAACTTCCTGCTTAGAATTGGAAAGATTCCTGAAATTGATAAGGTATAGTAGTTTATAAGGAAATTTATGTCAACAGATGATCTTGGGACCCAAAAACTAGGATCACCAGTACAGTTTCTGACCAGGGAAATGTTAAATAAGAATTATAAATGTGTCAGCTGGCCACAGAGAGCAGTATGTAGCTACATTAAGCTGCTCTTCTTCTGTCTTTACTCCAGATTTCTATGGGAAAAGACTGGAGCAGAAGGAAGGGGAGACACTGTGGATGAGACTAAATGAAGGCTTGGTCTTTAATAGAAGTCAAAAGAATAAAACAAATGAACACCAAGACAACTATGAACTTCTGAATACAGTTTGGTAAAAACCAGGGTTGCATGATAGATCTGCCAATTTTCATACAATGTGAGTATTCAAGGATTCAAATTTAATAGCAAGAGTATTAAGATTAGAATTACAAAATGGACATGGCAGTTGCCTAGGAATGTTATTAAAAGTCATAATGGCTTGAAACAGGGTTCTAACGGCAAGAAATCTGATACCAAAACATATGGAAAGACATGCTCTCTTTAAAGGATTCTCCTTGCCTGCTGCATTCTCTGGTGGCTTCCAGTGTTCCTATGTGGCAGAACACCCAGCTTGGCCCGGGGCTGCCCAGGACTTTCTTCTGTCTTCATGCTATATGGCTGTATGAATCATCTTATAGGGATCTTAGCATTTGCACTAGAACTCAACTTAAAGAAAAGATGGTGGCACCTCCAAACTCAAACCCATATGCACACTCTCTATTTCTAAATCATATCTGCAAGTATTAGGGCTTGGAGAGAGGGGGACATATATCAACAAATAAAATAGAAGCAGGCTTCCAGAGGAGTGGGCTTCTTATTCCCAGAAGGCACTGTGATAATTAATGATAGGAAATCACAGGGGTGAGTCTCCAAGCAGGAACAATGGGAACAGGTGAGGAGCTAGGGGCCTATAAATAAAATACTCACACGAGGGGCTGTTTCGTGGGCTCTTAAGTCTTTGGATCTGCACCCTTGTTACATTAGGGCCTGAAGACAACTCTTGGAGGAGCATTATTCAAACCACTACAGTTAAGATCCATTCACAAACTTAAAAAACTAAACCAAACTAAGCTGAAGAACAGATGTCCTTTCTTAAGTGTTATAAATGGACTTTTAAGAATACAGATTCAGGTATGGTCAGTTCAGTAAAGAAAACGGGTAATAGAGAAAGTAGTAGTATAGAAAGAAGAGAGGGAGGGAGGGAGGGAGGGAGGAAG